GAGAAAGTTCATTCCTCATTTCCATCATCCACTGGAATAAAATTCTTACCAGAAAGGGAAACTCACAGAGATGCCCTGAGCAGAGCGTCAGGAACTGACTCAGTAATGATAGAGTCACAGGCCCTCAGGTTCATCCTGGAAACTGCTCTCGCCTTTCATTCTAACGTAAGACCAAGGCAAATTTGGAGGGTAACTGCATAACAAAGGGAAGGATACTGTGGTAATAAAGCAAACTGCTGCATTTTAAATTTAATATGCAACGAGTTGTTCTATATTTGTATACAAACATCATTCATGGCTATAAAACGAAACGTTTTTCAGTCTTATCCCTTTTTCAAATAGTTTCAACATTTTATCTGATTACAATTATCTTGACTGATAAGGTGATAAATTTTGTCTTAGTCATCGCAATGGTATAAAAATTCCAGATACATTTTTTTCATACTCTGAACTCATTTTAAATTGCGAGTTCCAACTTTATAAAACCAGATGTTAGCACATATTTAATCTGATAATGACAATTATAAAGTAATCATGAAACCCAAAAGCACCTGTGTTTGCTCAAGGTATCATGCTGAGGATTATGGAAGCACAGTGGAAGTACGTCAGCTCCACGAAAGCCAACAGACATGAAAGCCATGCGGATTAAAAAAGTATTTGCCTATTTGAAATGGTCCTTTACTAATATCAAGACTGTAACACAGTGTATTTGAATAAGAGGTGATGAGCTGGTTCTATAAACACAGATTATTCAAGTGGAAAGCAGGTAGAAGTCTGACGTCAACATAGAAGGACAGAAATTTAGCCATTCAGAAAAAAATTTTTTAAGAAAAGAAAAAGAAGAAGTGCGGCTCTGCGGGCCCAGGGGTGAAGCAGCGTGGCAGCCGACGTTACTGCAGCGTTTATCTTTTTGTCTTTTACTTGATATGTAATGTCCAAGGATTTGTGAAACCATATTGCAAGTTAAAAAACAAACGCAACAAAAATTTTTGTATTCTCCCTCAGAATGTAAATTTTAAAAGATCAGGATTTACCATTATGTACTACTTGTCCCTGCTTGGATTTCAGTAGTCCATAAACCAAGAGCTCATTAGAAAATGTTGATGTTAAATGAGTGACATGAATTTCATGGTTTAGTCCAATAGAATAAGTGTTTACTGAATCTCTGTTACGCACAAAGCATCAGATCAAGTTCTAGAGAGACTACAAGGGCATAAAAATAGCTACATTAAAACTATGAGGCACTATTTGCCCCTTTCTGCTTCTCTGTCAAGAAATTTGAAGCTAAATTTGTTCAATTGCAATAACTGTTTTTAGACTAGGCTTTCTGTAACAATTCTCTTCTACCATGGTGACTCATTTTTTAGAATTGGGGAAAATACATGAAACATATTGAATAATTAAATAAGTGCTCTAATTCCAGATAAAGTGAGTTAAGCAAAATAGCAGTAGAGTGCCACCGAGGATTCGCAGCAAGACATTGCTGCAGCCAAAAAACAAAACAAGAGGTGACCTTCTGGGAAAAGGCCGTTCCAGGGTAAGAGGACAAATGTGCAAAGCATAATTGGGGGAGATAGTTGATGAGGAAGATAAGAACAGAGGACACGTTGTTTCCTTCATTCATTCTAATGACAACGGAATCGACCCACTCTTCTAAGAGCCCTACTGGTGTGCTGTTCATATATAAAGCAGCTTCGTGGGATGCTCATCCTGCTCACTCATGAGGTCAAGGACTGGGAATGATGTGATCCTGTAATTTCAGCACAGACACAGCGAGCAACAATGAATAACTGGAGAATGAATGAATGTGTGTCATCTGGTGGGCTCTCAGTAAGAGCTTCATAATCGGGGTCACACAAGTCACTCAAGCAATAAGGCATTTTTAAAAATGAATACTTAACATATTATACTGTCTCCTGTGTTGCTTGTCTTCTCTACTGAACTCAAAGCAATTTGTTCTTTTGTGGCTGGGATTTATTCTTTACATGTTAAAGGCAGAAAGTCTGAAAAATTAAGAGGAAAATGATCTGTGTACAGAACATGGTATGTAAGGGCTAAAAGCTGGAAAGAAAAAAGCAATGTCCCATTGTATGTGTGAGAAAAATGCAAAGTAGAACCTGTGGGTTCACACTGAACAATCAAAATTAGAAGAACTAATCAAGAGAGAAAGTATCACACTAGTTCAAAAGTTAATCACAAAAGTCTTTTTTGTCCATGCAATGAATTAAACTTGTTTTTAGAAATATGGGAGGAGGAGCAGAGAGCTCAGTAATACTGGAAACAAGATAGCACACTGAAATGCTACTTTATATTGTTGCTTACTTGCTGAGGCTTGTGTTTGTCAAACTGCAGGTCCCAATCCATTAGACCCTCATGAAATCAATTTAGAGTCAGAGTTTTTTTTAAATGACATATATATGTAAACATATGTATATGTCCATCCACCTATCATTTATTGTTATTTTATTTTGTTCTATTTTAGTTAATAGATATAAATATATAAATGTATATTCTGGGTCAGATTTGGGATTGAACTCAAGATCTTGTGCTTGCCAGGCAGGCACTCTCCTGCTGAGCTATATCCCCAGCCCCTGAACTGGATTGTTAATGAACTCCAATCCCAGTCAAAAAAGGTTTGAAGTCCCTGCTGTATTGGCTTTGGGGTGGAGAGGACTGAGGACCCAGTCAAGGATTTTAGTAAAATTAAAGTCCTGATTTCAAAGATTCCAGTGCTACTTACTATTTTGAGAGGGGGCTCGGGCCTTAAGACAATCAAGTACAAATAGGTAAGAGTTCATGAGTATGGATGAAGGTGCTAATAAAAAGAAAGCCTTATATCAGTGGTTCCCAGCTTTTCATTCTGAAAACCCCCTTTACATGCTTAAAAATTACCAAGGATGGGGCTGGGGATTTAGCTCAGTGGTATCAGCACCTGCCTTGTAAGCAGGCAGTTGTGAGTTCGATCCCTGGTACTGATAAAAAAAAAAATTACCAAGGACTACCTCAAATAACTTTTCTTTATGTGAATTATAGTCGTCCATGAATATTTGCTATGTTGGGAATTTATTCATTTATTTAAAATTACAATAAAAAGCTAGTAAATGTAAATATAAATAATATATTTTCATGAAAACTACTTTTCTATTACACAGAAATAGTGTTTTACATTTCTGCAAATGTCTTTAATGCCTTCCTTAATAGACGACAACTAAAGTCTCTCCTCTGTTTTTGACTATAGTCTGTTATTACATGTGTTTTGTCCGACACAGACAAAGAAATTCTGACTTTACACTGACAATGCAGTTGAAAAAGGGATGAATATTTTAATAATCTTTGAGATAATTGGGGATCTTTTTCTTTGACAATACATCAAATCTTGACAAATGGCAGTTTCTTGAAGATTAATTGTAATGTGCTATGCAGAATCATATCTATTAACTTTTCATACTCTGGTACATTAAAATCCTTTAATCCATATTTTCTGTGAATGGATCCTTTCTCCATGCATAATTATGTAACATCAGGCACTTGGTCATTTGGAAAATATTGAGTGACTGGGCTAAGTAAGATATTTCAAATGTGGACACTTTTTCTTACAAATTTTTTAAAAACTGCAATCATTAATATCACTGGTCTCATCAGAAAATACTTCAAGTATTAGGAAGCTATCAAGCAGCAGATGCGTGTTTTCTAAACTGGTAATTCCTACCACGAGATTCAAGTATTATCAGTAACATCGGTAATTGTTGCTATTTTTCTAGAAGTGCCAGGCAAATTTTGTTTTCGAAACTGTCTCACATGTATCTGAATAACCACAGTTTGTCCATCTATCTTCCAAGTAAAAATAGTGTTCCTTAAAAATAAAGCAAAAAAATACCCTCGTTTCACAATTCGCGCACAGTATTTCCCTGGAGACACATACAGCTCTTTGACACGCAGCAGAGTGCTTTATGGATGCTTCCTGTTTTCTTTTTCACACAGTATTTAAAAGATGTATATCTAAAATGTGTATCTATTGAACTTTAATGACATTGTTAATTTTACTTCTTTATAAAGAACAATCTCAAGTGACTTTTGGCTCCGGCTGGTTTTGTTGTTATTTTTTTAAGAGTATCTGGTAATGAGGAACACACTTATCACTGGTGCCCTTGGTTGCCAGGCCTTAGTTCAGGACAAAGCATAGCGTTTTAACTCACCATTGGTTTGGCAACATTGATGAAAAACAGTCAATATGACCAAATCAAGTAAGTCAGCGTTGTTGTGATAATTTTTTAACCTTACAGATCCCCTGAAACTGGAATCACCCCTCTCCGACGTGGGTGTTAGGGATATCTTGAGAACCACTGGATACTAGCATATTAAGAAATCACAGATCTTTCTTTACAGAGTTATTAGTGCTTGAGGTTAATTTATTAAAGTTTTGATCATGAAGCGCCAAAAATAATACATGCCAAGCCGTCGAACACATCCAAAAGGAAATAGTATCCCGCATACAGCTCTAAAGCTCATGTAGGAAGAAAATTAGTTTAGAAGAGGGGGAGGGGAGAGAAGAAAGAAAACGGGATTCAGAAGAACTGGGCTTGTCGTTACCAGTAGCAACGATCCTCAGCGAGAAACGTCGGACATCGATCAGTGATGCCTCGCCTTGGCCCGCCAGCGCGAGCGCGGGGCGGATGGAGCCTCCCTGGGCCAGTGGGCGCTCGCTCGTTCCGCGATCTACTGAGAGTGGCTTGCTGGAGCCCTAGAGGAGCCCGGGAGGGAGGGAGAAGATGGCGGCCCCGGCGGCCGGCGGCCTGGTGGGGAAGGGGCGCGACATCAGCCTAGCTGCCCTTCAGCGCCACGACTCCTATATCAACCGCATCGTGGACGTGGCCAGCCAGGTGGCCCTGTACACTTTCGGCCATCGAGCCAACGAGTGGGTGCGTGCGCACGCGACGGGGCAGTGCAGACCCGGGCTGGAGCGGAACGGGGTCCTACCGGGGTTCCCAGCTGGTGAGGGAGGACACGCCTCCGACGGTGGTGGACGGGCCTGCGGCCAGAGTTGTGCAGATTGACTCTGAGTTTAGGGCCGGGAGGTCGACCCGAGAAGCCACCTGGAGTTAGGGGAGGACAGTAAATAATGGTCCCACGCGGGGAGCAGAGCAGTCAGGCACAGGACCCGGCGCTGCCAGGCCGGAAGCCGGGTGCTCGGGTAAAACAAAGCTGAGTTTTGTCACAGTAAAACCGGTGGCAGGGTAGGAGACCAAAAAAAAAAGGGTTCTGGTTCTGGATCAGCCATCTTAGGTGGGGCGGAGAGAGCTCAAAACTTCATGGCTGGGGACAATCGGAATACTCAGAAAACACTAACCGAAGAGCAAGCATGGAAAATAAAAGACAGAGTGGACAGTGTGACGTTTAAAGGGAGGCTGGTGACCTTGGGAAGATCAGTACGTTACAGCCTTTGATACTGGAGTCCATTCTAATACAGAGAAACTTAATTTTTCTTCACAGCTAGGATTGGTAGGAGCGTGAAACACGTGAGTTCTGTTGCAAGAATTGCGCCATTTAATTTTGTAACCCACCTCCTTGACTGTGGGAACATGTAGTTTTTTTCTCTTCATAGTGGTTGTGTACCAAGTGATGCCTGTCCGTTAAGTTACCGATCATTTTTAAAAAATAAGAACTTACTTGAATTTTCTAATGAGTTTCTCAAATCAGGAAAAAAATCACAATTTAGGGGAAATTAAGCAAATTCTTTTTTTTAGCGTCCACTTAGGTCTTCTTAAGCAGGTTGTAATAAATACCTGAAAAATCATTGACGCGAGGTGGGGATGTACCTCAGTGGCAGAGGACTTGCCTAGCATGCACACGGCTCTAAATTCAATTCCCAATGCCACACACATACACACAATCATTGACGTAAAAATAAAAATGCTGGACCAGGGATGTAGCTAAGTAGCATAGCGCCTACCTGGCAAGTGCAACGTCCTGAGTTCGATTTCCCGTACCAGTACAAAAATAAAAGTGCTCTCAAGGGTTGGGCAGGTAGCTTGGTGGTAGAAGGCTTGCTTAAGTGGCCTCAAGCCGTGGGTTTTATCCCCACCATTGCAAAAGAAAAAAAATCAAAAGCTATTACCCCTCCTCCCCCAAATGAGAGAGAATAGTTTTTCTCTTAAGTTCTTAACAAATGGGGCAAAGAATTTACATCTACTCTCCAAGTTGCCAAACCCAAAAGGAACACATGGAGATCTCTTAACACTCACCATTTCTAGTACAAAGCATATCATTTGATCAGGAGACTACTCCCAATCCTGATCCCAACCCCCTAGTTAGAAGAGCAATTTATCACCTGAGTTTTCACATAAAAAGCATTGATGTTGACATGTATGATCCTATATGTGGCTGTTTTTATTGTTCTATAGACAGATGCCAAAGATGTAGTGTAGTTCTGTAATAAAGAGCAGGGATGTATAGTTAGCACTCTAAGCTGATTTGGCAGTAGGCTTAGAGTCTGGAGAATCTTGATAAACTGTCAACCTATTTGGTAGAACATTTCTCTTGAATGTCATCTCCTAAAGGCCTTTGATCTGTGTGATAGAGACCTTTTAAAAATCATTGCAAAACTTTACGAATGCCCAGTGAAACCCATCAACAAAAGCTTCGTCCAGAGGCAGAACTGTCACTATGCATTATTTACAGGAGTTATGTTTTCCTGCTTCCTGGACTTGTTGCCTTTAGACAGGCATAATTCATTCAGTAAAAGGTCATTCTTTCAAATACTAATCTTCAAGGCTGTGGTAGCCAGGCAGAAGAATGGGGCCTAGTTCAACTATAGCAGAGTTGCTGAGGGCAAGCAAATTGTCACAACTGTTTCTGATGCCATCACTCAGGTCTCTGACTAGGAGCCTTTTGAATATAAACTTAAAGTATACAGAACATCAAGAATGGAGGCAAAAGTGTTTGCAAGAAGGCAGATTCTTACTACACTGAAAATATATAAATGACACCAAGAATTTATAGAAGGAGAAACCAGGAATGAAGATCACACAAAATTAGCTGCTTTATGAAAGGATTATGAGGCTGAAGGCGGAGTTCAGTAAGGAGAATGTGTGCTTAGCATGCACAGGGCCCTGACTTCAATCCCCAGCATCCAGTAAGTAGGAAAAAGGATGATTATGTCATCACCGGATTGGGAAATTTTAAGAGTAGGCCTGCTTTTCCATTGCCAGGTGAGATGGCTCCCCTACAGTACCTATATTAATTGAAGACTGCAAGGCCTTGTATTATTGTCACTTTTTTTAGTCCTTAGAACAGTGGCTCTCAGCTGGAATTGATTTTGCCCCGAGGTGACATTTGGCAGTATCAGGAAAGGATGTTCTCACTGAGAGAGGATGTTGCTAGCATCTGCAGGATAGAGGCCAGGAATAAAGCTAAACATGCTACAAAGTATGGGTATTGTTAGGCACCTTACATCAAAGATTTGTCTCCTCCAAAATGTCAAAAATGCTAACCTTAGAAAATTGCCCTAGAATGAATAGTGCCCTGTATTTCCAGCTAATGGTGTTCTAAGTTTTCTGTGTATCTCATTAACTCGGGAGTATTTAGAAATGTAATACAAATCAAAACCTTTGGATAATGAGGCCCAGGCATTAGATACTGTTGAAGGACTTCAAACAACTGATGCTACATGAATGATAGAGACAGATTTGAAAAGAAATTGAGACCTACTTTTTTTTATTAACTTAAAATAATCGGTAAAATTGAGATTGTATGCGTTCTTTCAAGAGTGTCAGTGTACTGAGTCTCGGTAATGTACAAAACAGCGTTATCTGTATTCCATTTTGTCATTTTTAAATCTGAGTTTTGAGCTGCTTCATACTTAGATTTTATAATAGTGTAATATTGTATAATTAAATTGTACTTTAAAAATTTTAAAGTTCCTCAGGATTATGAATTAATACTTTAACATAAAAGTCCTCCATACTTAAGACTATCTGATGAAGACCTAGTAAAAGCCTGTTTTAACTATTCCCCATACCCCTGACCCTGGACTTTATACAGAAAAAAAAAAAAAAAAAATCTGATTGTTCTTGGATAACTGTAATGATCAGGAAAAGACATGCACTCAGCTGCCTCAGCGATAATAAAACAGAAATTTATACTTCCAAAGCTTTTTGCAGCTAATCAGAGCCCTTAAAAAGTATTGTTTCATTGAAAGATCAGAGTGATGTAGACTAGTTGTCTCTTTTTGGTGGACAAACAGACCCAGAACAATAAGCTAGTCCAGTCTGCTGGGCAAGAACCCAGCACTAGGACCATACTGCAGTTACTGAAGCAGCTCCTTCCCACTGGCAAGCTAAGAACAAAGTCAGGTGCTTGCTTGTTAATAAGTTAGATAGGAAAAGCTTTCCTCTTACAGTTCTGATTATGGATTTTTCAGGACCAAAAATGTGGTCCTGAAGTTGTTGTTTTTGTTTTTAGAAGGAAAAAGGAATTTGCTACATCGAGGAAGACGTGAAACAAGTCAGAAGCTATCAGCTTCCCTGTGCTGATACATATTATGATTTGCATCTCCAACGTGAAATTGTCCAAGGTCAAATAGGAGAAAAAAGTGTTTTGGCCTTGTGACAAATGACCCTAACCATGTGCATAGGTTCTTCAGTATCTTAGTTCCATCAACCAGATTCTAACGTCCCTTTCTGTCATTGTACTGGAGGATAGCTTATATTTAGTTTCTGCAGTTTGATTCTTCATTGTGAACTACTGGGTACTTGCCATTTGGACCAGCTGAACTCCAAGATACAAATTCTTAGGTTGGGTAGCATTCATTCACTGTACTGTCCTGGCCATTTTCTTAGTGATTGACAGTGTAGATAGGAGCTTGAATTCTTAGTTTGGAAAGTACACTCAATATAAATTTTTCAACAGATAGGAGTTAATTTTGCATTTGTTTACAGAGAAAGGTAAGTAATACCTCTATTTTTTAATTTCAGTTCTGACTAAGGGTATTTTCCAAAGCAATGTAGCAAATGGGCCATGTTGAGAAATAAGGAAACTTTTCATAGGACATTGGTGTGCTTTATGGAAATTTCATACTAAGTGCAGTTAAAGGGTAAACTCTTACTTTCATAACTATGCCTATAAGGAAAAAGCTAAAACTTTCATAACTGGTATACATTTGTTATTCCTAATTGTATATTCTGTAATTAACACCTTAAGACTAAAAATCTTTTTACTAAGTGACGATGTTTTCAAAGGCATTTACTGTTATTTCCCAGTTAAATGGTTTTACCTTTTTTATTAGTATGTTGTGAAGAATAATAAGTGCATTTATTGTAGAGAATTGGTACACACACACATCACATCTTGATCCTGTTTCTTCTCCCTTCCCTGTTTCCTCATCTTGATACCCTTCCCATCTCTAAAGTTTCCCTGTTTCCTGTCATCTTTTATTTTGCTATTTATATTTAGAGTTTCTCATGTAAGAGAAACCATGTGATATTTAGTCTGTGTCTGATTTATTACACTTAGCACTGTGATCTCAATGTATATTCATTTTCCTACAAATGACTCCAGTTTATCCTTTACAACTGAGTAGTATCCCACACAGACCATCTGTTTTTAACCGTTACCTGCTGATGGACTATGTTTTGTGATACTTTGATAAAATTTAGACTATAGTAGATTTTGTTTTCTTGACTCCTAATATATTTCCAAAGGCAGAAAATATGTTACTGAGTTCAGGCAGTGGTTTGCAAATTTGTATGCTTCAGAATCACCGAGACAGCTTACTAAAAAGCAAATTGCTGGATGGCCTCTCCATCATGTCTGAGTCAGTGGGTTTTGGCAAGGGCCCAAGAATACATTTCTAACAAGTTCGTGCTGTTGATTTAGGGACCACACTTTGAGACCCACTGAGATAAGGTCACCAAGAAAATTGCTGAAATTAATTAAGAGTGTGAAAGAACTATGCTTTCCATTTTTGTGTGCCTCCTAAAAATCGTTAATTGTTAAAAATTGGTGTTAATACCTTTTTTTCTTAAAAGGTGCATCTTTTTACAGAATTATAGAGTACTTAATTTTGAGCAATTTTGGTTATGGATGTCAATAATAAAATATTAGAATTAGGTAGAATGCTGAAATTAAACCATGTAAATAGCAAAGCACATATTAAATTCAGAATTATAGTTTGATTACTAGTTAAACATAAAAAAAACTTATATGCATTGTATCTTTGAATGTTATCATTTGGCCAGGTTTCCTGCCTTTAACAATGTGGAAAAGAAATGCCAAATGAACCAACCGAACTTTTTTACTTTACCATCTCCTCCAGACTTCCTCAGGCAATTCTTGAGTCCTAACTTGGTAATACTCATAACTTTATTTCAAAGATCTTGGATGAAAATTTGACTTTAAATATTCCACACCAAGTAGGCGATTTAATCTGAAAACTACCACATCATTGCCTCCTCTCTCTCAGTCAGCCAAGTTAGTGACAGATCATCTGCTCTCGTAGACAGGCTATGGCAAGGGAAAATGAACCTGAGAAATAAGTGAAGGGCGATGACATGCAGACACAGGATTTTCTACAGCTTGCCGTACATACCCAGGTTGGAGAATGGAGAAGGCAGCATACTAAACTATGTTCCGCTCTTTCTCATGAAGTTCGGGACACCCTTGCTTTATTATTGTTTCAGACAAAGATGTGTCACCCACTCTGCATTTGGAAAAGAGATAATGTCGAAAGAAAGACTGCTCCCTGCTGCTCACTCTGCAGTGCCGTTTAGGCAAGCAATGGCTCTTTTCCTAAGAATAGCCCCTCCGTCTGTCTGTAGGTCTGTCTGTACTGCAGCTTCGCAGCTTTGAGATTTAGTATCATTCTTACTCTGTTGGAAGTTTAGTTTGCCTCTGTGAGTTAAGAGACTACACATACGCTATGTGTTTTATTTTTTTAGGAGAAGACTGATGTGGAAGGAACCTTATTTGTTTATACAAGGTAAGACTATTTTACTTTAAGAAAGAAACTGACAATCTTCAAAATAATGTTTTACCTCAGTTGTGTCATTCAAGTGCAGTTTTATTTCAAAGAAGTAAAACAGCTGAAACTTAGTTTGAAATTATTAACTGACAGGAAGAAGAGAATACCATGTCATGTCCCTTGGTTTATTCTGGTGACTACTGACTTCAGGATATAATTTAAATCTCAATATAGATTAATTTAAATCTTGGTTTTCGGTTTGAAATAGTATTAAGTATTCTGTGATTCAAATGAATGGTAGAGTTTTATAGTGCACCAGCAAGAAGCTAGTGGTAGATTATTTAATCAATATTTGGAAAAGTGTTTTATTGATCACCCTGCCACTCTTGACTGTTTAAAAAAACATGGTCCAAAACTGAAGGTATCTTTCAGTACTTCATTGTCTAGTTAACAGGATATATTTCAGGATAGATTATTAATAAACTCATGCTCTTTTCAGTTCACTTACTATGTTTTTATCAGATATTGTTAACCTCACACATGTACAGAGATATACATTATGTGTATTGTCTTAATAGTTAATTGTTCTAGTAAACGTTCACTAAAATGTCTCAGCTAAACCCTGCCACATTCAATAGGTGTAGGATGAAATGCAAAAGCTTACTACAAACCCTTCTTGGAATAACAGTTTAATTGGGGGTAAAGGGAATATATACATACATGTTAGATGTGTTTTCTTTACACCTGCATTCATGGTTAAGCTACACAGAGCAGCTGAGAGTACCAATGGCAGAACGCCTGCTGGGCCTGTGCCAGGCGCGGGTTCCACCCCTAATACTGTAAAGAAAGGATAAGCACACTGCAGATAGACGTCAGTGCTGCTGGATAGGTAATAGGTAACAAATTGGCTGCTATGATAGTAGAAGGCTTTATAGAATTGATGTTTACACGGATAATTTTACTTGTAGAATTGCACAGAGAGAGGTTCAGGCAGTCTCAGTAGGAAGAATGGCGAAAGCCAGGCGGGGAACCTAGCCTGTGAGAAGGACAGTGAGGAAAATGACTGTTTCAGAGGGCTGATATTGGATTATATTAGTTCCATGGTAAAGAGATTTGCCGACTGGGAGCGGCCAACTAAGGCTTCTGAAATTTATTTTCCTAGCAGTAGGAAGTCATTAAAGGTTTATGAACAGTAGACTATTAGAGTCATGAGAACATATGGGGAAAGCTAGTGTATTATCATTGTAAGGATACACTGGCCTGAGGAAAAATTGGATCCAGGAGGGCATTGAGAAAATTATTATGGCGCAGATGTGCAGTGGTGCAAGTTGGGACGGGCATGTCTGGTGCTGAAAGGAGAGGGCCTCCGAAGGCAGCCTGAGGAAGGGTGGTAAGGCTAAGAAATTACGTTTTTTGAACATAGATATAGAGACAAAAGATGGGATATAGAAACAATCATTGACAGAACAGGAAGGTAGGTTAAGAGTCAGGTTGGAGGCTAAGTTTTCTACGTTTTAGTTTGCAGTGCTGAGATTGAAACCCAGAGCCTCACACATTAAGTATGTATTTTGCCACTTTATTATATCCCCAGCCATTAGTCTTTAGTTTTTTCAAGTAACGTGTTCAGAGTGGTAACAGGACATTCAAATGGAAATAACTTGCCACTTGGGATAGGAGCAGACCTGGAGGTAGAGAGTCCTTCAGGAATAGGACGCCTGCTGTCCCAGCCCAGCCTTACCCTGCTTCCTGCTAGATTCTGGGATGTTGAAGTTTTCCAGAAAGGGTTTGGTGTACAGGTGATCTAGCTGCCTGTGATACACTTTTGACTTTTCTTCTAGGAGTTTACTTTAAGCAACTGGCACCTTTATTCCTGGACCTAGTTTATAAACCATGAAATGGTATAGTTTCCCCACACTATTAGAGACAGATGGGACTTCCTGTTGTGATAATGAGAAACCGGAAGAATCAAATTGACTCTTACACACAAACACCTGATTCTATTCTAAGCCATGTCTGTGCATGGCTCTGTCTTAGGATAAGAATTCATTGAGACAACCATTGGTGATTTCTGCACTTGGCATTCCAGATGACCTGTCAGTCTTCAGGAGTACATCATTTCTTTTCAGTCTAAGCTGAAATGATTATTATGATTACTCTGTGTGTTGATTATATGCCTGCCATCATTTTACTTTTTTGTAAAATAGACCAGGTAAAACCTGCCTTCTCTCAATTTTAAAATTGGAGATCTTAAAAGAAAATCCTGTAATCAGTAATGTAGCTGGGTTTTGCCTTTGTTAGCATCAAATGATTAGAAGTAAAATAAGACTAAGATGTTTTTTCCTATTGTTCATAACACTTCTGTGGGTTTGTTAATAACAACCCTACTAGTCTACTTTAAAGTAAATAAATGAATTCTGCTTGCTTCAGTTTTAGTATGGATGTCTGTGGTATTTCATTTGTCACCAGAAGTTATGTGGTTGAATTACTAATGGCTGTTACCCAAGAGCAGGCAGATGTACGTGTAATTGTTAAGAGTGTATACACTGTATAATTTGGGTTCTTTTTGCAAGCAGAGGAGGCAATCAGGGTTTGTTGAATGAGATAAAAAATTAAAGTCATCATCAGTGATACTTTTTACTGAGAAAAACTTATATAGTAGTTTATCTTTTCTTTGTATTGAAGAAAGCAAAATATGTGTCTGTTGAACCTTTATATAATCTTTTAGTTTGTGCTGTGTCTCCTTGCAATGAATTGCTTCATTTCTGTTAGAGACGTTGCAGCTCTCAATTTCAGACCAACATTAACATCTTTCTATGAAAACTTATTTGTGTAATTGGGATATACACTGTGTAAGCTAAGATCCTTTAAAAGTATCTGTCACTAATTTAAAAAGTAGTTTATCTTAAGGAATTTAAATCTTAAAGGATTTATAACATAAGTTAAAGTAATTTGTAACCTTAAGGGAATTGATAATAGGGAGACAAGATACATGTTTATATCACAAGACAGATCCACATATACACACAAATGTACACACACTGATGGTTAAAGAAGGACAACTCCAAGAACTAACCCCGACAGCTGCTCTGCCTTACACCTAAATTAGTGTAATGATGCCAGGAGTGAAGCAATGTTGCATCCTCTGTACACCAGCTTCGGTAAAGCTGTATGTAAACACAGGAAGGTAAGAGATGCGTCAGAATGTGTGAAGTGTGATAGACAAATACGTTACATTGTTAGATTAAAAAACGATTACACTAAAAGACACATTGCCATTAATCCCCTTTGGAATGCTCCTCTTGCTTCAAATACACTTTGCATTTTTCTTGCTGCTTTCTGAAGCAGTTCTGAAAGTCCTTTTTCCTAAGTGACTTTAGTCGTGTTGTTGTGACTACCCTGAATCAATTCCAAACACCTGCCGGTAACAGTCAGTATGGCTTCAGAGAAGAGCCAGATGCTGCACAGTGTTGGATCCAGTGAGTAAAGTGCGTGAGGATTCCCAGCAATGTTTTACAGGACTTACCTTCCACTGGGTGACAGTTGGCAGGCGCTGTTACTGTGGTTTTTTTGTAATCATACCCCATAAAGACAGTAACAAAAGAGGACTCTCAGAACTGCTTCAGAAGGTGTCAACAATAGGATAGATGTGTTTAGGTGGGGTAGATGTGTTTAGAAGGGAAATAGTGTTGATGTATCATACTACAATGCATTTTTTAAAAAATGTAAAATTCACTGTATATTTTGATCACATCGCATAGTTACAGTGCATATATAATATATTTAACAACTTTTCTTTGACCCCTGTCCCCATTCCACTCCTGATCTTCAGGTCTGCTTCTCCAGAGCATGGATTCACCATTATGAATAGACTGAGCATGGAAAATAGGACAGAACCCATTACTAAAGACCTGGATTTCCAACTCCAGGACCCTTTCCTTCTCTACCGAAATGCCAGATGTGAGTCTCTTAATACATTGGGTAGTTTTATTTCTGAAGTTTGACCAGGTCTTTAAAATTGTGAAGTGTGTATCTTTGTGTTTGTGTTGACATTTGCTAGAGAAATGTATGCCTTAAGAGGGAACTATCTGGGAAAGTTCAAGTTTGAGGTTCTGCAGCACTGTTTGGAGCAGCCATACTGCTTTGTAGTATGATTCCATCACTGACCCGAAGGCTGAGCACTGGGGTCTTCCAGACTCGGAGAGGAGACTAAAGAGGAACCTGAAGGTGCAGCCACCGGCACGGAATTAATGACTCAGCTAGTGGCACCTTTTCTTCTTGCATCACATCTGACCTAGCACCTTGACAGAATCTTCCAGGGAGAGGGCCTACATAGTAAGTGAACTCAAAAAATCCAGACAGTTTGATCCTTAATAATTTTTTTTTTTTTTTGGTCTTTTTCATTTTTATCGGTACCAGGGATCGAACTCTCGACTGCCTGCTTGCAAGGCAGGCGCTTATGCTGCTGAGCTAAATCCCCAGCCCCAATCCTTAATAATTTAATGGCTTTTCATAATGTTGAAGTTATAATTGGTAATGAATGGTCCTTTTCAGATTTGAAATGAGTCAGTAGTCCCATATTTAACAGTCTCTTCATTTTTTAACTTGTCTTATCTGACCATTGCTGTTGTACCAGAGAAAGATTGATGAAATTATCAATTGCAGGAGCATCCTGTACACAGAAAACTAAAACACCAGTCAATGTGTAAATATGTATGTGTGCATGTGAGCATGCACGTAGGCATTATAGGTAACTTTCTAAAAGACCTTGCAGCTAAATATTTTCTCTTTCTCTCTCTATATATATATTTTCCATACTACTCTTGGCATTTAAGAAATAAGAATTTGCCTCCTGTATATCATTTTGTGTAATTTTCATTATAAATGTAATATAAGTAATATTTGACGGCAATCCCAGTGAATCCTTTCAAAATAAATGTAGTGTCCTTTTTTTTTCTTTTTTAGTGGTATTAGGGGTTGAACCCCGGGCCTTCACACAGAATAACACCCCCATTTTTTTTTTTTTTAAAAAAAGGATCTCATTAAGTGGCTAAATTGCCTAGGCGAAGCCTGTGCTTATGATCCCCCTGCCTCAGCCTCTTGGGGTGCTGAGATTACGAGCACATGCTGGGCTTTATAACGTCATTTTGATGTATTCAATATGATAATATATTTACTGTCATTAACATATAATTAAGTTGCTATGATAGGTGGTAATCCAGACACTTAGAATTAAATTTTTGTAAGATTAGATTTTTACAGTTAAATTTTTAAGAGAGAAAAAATAAAAGCTATCAAAACTAACATGACTTAACAATAGTAGGTCCTGTGAAGTAAAAAGTTTTGTAATACAGAATCAACGCAAAATATTGCTGCCTGTTGTTTCTTGCTGGCAGGTGTGTCTTACCAGTTGTAGCACTTAGTTTGAATCGTTTGTGTACTTAGTCAGGTTTTATTTTTTTGAGATTATTAGATTGTGTGTTAAATTAGTATATAACTCAAGTCCTACCTAATAGAATAACCACAAAAATAAATACAGAAATGACTGTTTGTTACCTATTGTAACTGTTCTTTTGCTTGTTGTCATTGTTTCTTGGTGACAGGGACTCACTATGTAGTTCAAATTGGCCTTGAACTCACTTTGTAGCCTAAGATGGCCTCAAATTCACAGCGATCCTCCTTCCTTAACTTCCCGAGTGCTGGGATTACAGGCATGTGCCACTATACCCAGCTTCATGATCATTTTTTATTGGTTATATTGAGGATAAATACTTGACCTATTTAGTACAGATAATATTTTAATTTTTATTATATATTACTATACCAAAAGTGTGAACATAAAAAACCTTTCTAATGTGTTGATTTTAAAAACAACTGTGCTGAGTCCCACAGAGATTATCTGATAGGTAATGCTATTTGGATCCAATAAACATTTATAGGCCTTACCTCAGTCAAAGGCATGTGCTGTCTGTGTAGCAGTCAGTAGGTACGTGTGGCTGTGCAGCTTGTGAAATGTGGCTAATCTGAATTGCTCTGTGCTTCGCATGTAAAATAGAAATCCATTTCCAGACTTAACACAAAAAGAAAAAGAATATGAACAAAAACACATTAATTTTATATTGATTGACATGTTGAAATGATAATATTTTGGATATCTTGGGTTAAATAAAATATATTAAACTTACTTTCATCTGCTTCTTTGTATTTTTTTAATTTAAAATTACATACATGGCTCACATGTGTGCTTTATCTTACATCTCTGTCAATAGCACTGTTCTATTTTCATTTATCCATTTTATCATATTTTCATCCTTTTTCCAGCTTAAGTCACAACTTCGTAGGATGGATATTTTCTCTGCCTTTTGCAAATGAGAAAACTGGGGCTCAGTGAGGTGACACACTTGTATACAAATGCACAAATTCTGATTCCTGCTGTTGCTTTTCCCATATCCTCTAGACCCTGCAGCTGCTACGCGTGAATGCAGATTGAAAGCAGCTTGCGCAGTGTGTATTTGTTTCTTATAATTTCCATTTGAGAGAAGTAAAATCAGCTGAACACAAGAGAATGGATCTATTTTCTAGGTTCATTTTTCTATTTTTTTTTTTTTTTTTTTGTCTCTTAGATCCTGATTTTTTGCAGCCATACTTATTTATTTTACTTACTTGGGAAACCCTGATTAGTCACTGCTTCGTAGGGTCTCAGATGCCTCTTAACTGTTTTTGATGGTTCAGATATTTTGTTTTTGGTTTTCATATTCTCTGATGACGTACAGATCAGTTCATTGTCCAGCTCCCCTGCAGGGCTAGTTTTTTAAGAAGCTTGATCTAGGTGGTCAAGAATCTGTCTGTAAGATCTTGGCACTTCACATCAGTCTGTGTATGTTCTAGGCTATTTTTGAGCATTTCAGTAGACAGAAGTATAGTTACATAATTCATGTGAGTTTTCTCACAGTTTTAGAAACTTACTAGGTTTAAAAAATCAGCATTCTAGAGCTGTATAACTATCTGTGTCTAGAATTGGTTAAACTTAAATGAGCAAAATAAAGACATGAAAGTCTAAAACCCTTCATTTAATTAGTCAAAAGAAGAAAAGATCTTTGATAAGTAACTTTGAATTTGGATCAAACATAAAATAGATTATTATAGGAAAGGATTTATAATCTTTAAACTTTGTCATAATGAGATTTGACCTAAATAGGCTTTAAAAAGTAAGATAGCTTTTAAATTAGAACAAAATTTCTTTCATTTAATAAGCATTTACTGTCTGTTAGATCCTATATTAAGGCTTTATATGGGTTATCTTGTTTAATTCTTTAAAACTTTTTCTTGAAAATGCTGTCTTTTTTTTTTTTTTTAAATAAACGAGGATACTGAGGCTAAAGAATTTAAATAATATCCTATGGTCCGTGACTATTTTTAAATGGAAACTTGATCTAAATGAAGAAAGACCAACTTTAGGACCCCAGGCCCAAGCAGTAAAGATGCTAGCAATATATAATGCATTTGAACAGAGTTTATTTGTAAGAAGTACTTAATCTTTTTAGTTTATACTCTAAGGATTACAAAGCAATTTTCTTTTCAGTTTGAGACTTTATCAGTTATTAGAGAAATTATTAAATAAAAACTTAATAGGAAACTAATGTATACACTTCTTTTATGTTGTTCATGGGTAGTATCTATTTACTATGTTTTCTACTTCACAGCTACATACAGTTTTACTATATGGGAGCATACTGTAGAAATATACTTCCCATATGTATTATCATAGTTAAATTATGGACAGCAGTGATGAATTTCGGGACCAGGACAAAATGTGGAATATATTACTCTCTGTGGTAACAGGATTAGAGTGAAATTCTTTTAAGATGCTTGATTGCATTGCAGACATAAGCAATGCAATCAAGTTTGGAGTTTAGACCAAATCAGAAAAGGAATTAAAAGATATTTGATACGCAAAATGAAGAAAAGACATGTCAAATGCAACTATAGTTGTCCATGTAGGGGAATTTATAGCACTCAATTGTAATTCGAAAAGGTCTCAAACCACTAATTCAAGCTTCCTCCTTCAGAAAATTAAAGAGCAAATTAAACCCCAAGCAAGTAAAAGAAATAAGAGAAGTCAACAAAATAAAAAACAGAAAACAACAGAGATACTCCATGAAACCGAAAGCTGATTCTTTGAAAATAGTCAATAAATCTAAATGGGGAAAAAAGATACAAATCAGCAGTGTTGGGAATGAAGGAAGGATTATTTGCAGACATTCAAAGATGATAAAAGAATGCTATAAATTACTTTGTGGTCATAGATTTGATAATTTAGATGAACTAATTTGTGTTTGTGAAAATGGAAATCATAAAAATTCATTCAAGAAGAAATAATCAGCCTGAATGTCTTTGTATCTATTAAGGAAGTTAAATTTGTATTAAAAAGAAACCTAACAAAACTCCAGGCTCAGATAGTTTCACTGGTGAAATCCACCAATCATTCAAGGAAGGAGTGATAATTCTACAAAAATCTCATTCAGAAAGTAAGAGGCAGGAATATTCCCAGTTCATCTTACGAGATAACATTAATATCAAAATAAGACAAAGACATGACCAGGAAAGAGGCAATATCCCTTGTGAATAAAGATACAAATATTCTCAACAAAATGATAGCAAAATATCCACAGCAGCATCCTTTACAGGAGCCAAATGATGGGAAACACCCAGGGTCCATGAATGAGTAAACAAACTTGATGTACATAGCATGGAATAATATTCAACCTTAAATGTAGTAGTTACATTTTAAAAGGATAGGTTCATAAAAAGAATAGGCCTTGTAATTTACATCTGGTTTTTCCTATTCCTACAAAATCAGTTAGATTTCTCTTCCTAAAGCACAAGTCATTTTCCTTCTTAAAATCTTCAGTGTCTGCCAAGTGAATTTTTTCAGCTGACATTTAAAGCTTGCTGTAGTC